TAAATTTTCCACTTAAAAAGCACCTCAATTGGTACCTTCTTACAAAAAGGTCTTTTGAAAGATTCTCTCTTTTTATTAAGGAGTGTTTGACATAACACAATACATTATTATGTCAATAACAATTTGGAGTAATTGATACCCTTTTTGATAGGTGGTGGATTTAAATTAACACAATGCTTAGATCTCATAGTCAAAGAGCATGAAGTGTATCATGCTCTTAAAAGAATGTACATGCAAAAGTAAAATAATAAATAGTTGAAACTAAAAAACATGAATACATTATATGGATTCATGAACATGATTTGATTTTATGGTGTTTTTTTTATTTGATTTGTGTTCTCTTTTGAGAGTATGATGCGCATTATGTAATTGTGTTGACATGTAGGATCTAACTTGCGGGTTTTACCATGGTTTTCTTTATTTAAGAGGTTTTAAGTCACAACACAACCATTAAACATTATTGCAAAATGGAAGAGTCCATAAGGTTATTTTTGTTTTATCCTTCATAGTCGCTTTCATGATGTTCTTACTTGACAACAAATTTTATAATGTTCTCCATGTATGATGTATCATAATTCGGATTTGGGTTAAGGCAGCCTTTGCCCGTTTTGATGTTAGATATCGATACACTCGTGAAAAGTGATAAACTCGATTTCCCATAAAGTTAATCAATAAATAAACCCACTTCGATCTACCTAAATCATGATTAAACACATACAGAGTACAAAATCAAAGTAGATTAATAAATCTACTTCATTACTTCATATTTTTTGTTTTCGTCGGACAATTTAGCTGTCACGACGTTGATGTTTAATTAATTAATTTGGGCATCCGATGATAATTGACTAAACAACTAGCTTGATGTCTGTTAGTTCAGTACTACTTTGTCTTTTTTTCTTTCATATTCTTCAGTTTGGTGCATGCGGGTGTAATGTCATGTGTGTTTATTTCAGTCTTTAAATTTGTTGCTATTTTTGCACACTTCATCAATACATTCAACCAGAAAGCGAGACGTATTTGGTGAGCATATTTATTAATTCTGACATTTTAAATTTACTTTCAAAAAATATGAGGTGGGTGAATATTTTCTTGGTGAATTTTTTCTTGTCTCATAATGATTTATGAACGTGCTAGATTTGCCAATGTATTATTGTCTTTGACTGTGACTGTAATTATTCTAATTGGTGCATTTGAAAGCGACGAGTATGCTTGATTTAGTACGGAGTAATATGACTAACGTTTAAATTAGATCGATGGTTAGGGTTCAAGACTAAGCTTGTGGGTACACACGGCCACAAAATGACATACTCCCGTACTAGATTACTTTGTATTGCATTTTTTGGAAGCGAGCATATCTTTTTCCTCTCCGTGCATTGTTGGTTGTCTTTTCGATTTTTTGGGTGTTTTGTGACTGGCATTATTTGGTGGAATCATTACCTTATCTTTGATCATTGTCATGTGTATGGAATCTAGTTTTTGATGTGAACATTTGAACTGCATAGTTGTTTCAAACTGAAGTGTTAGTGGACATGTATGAAGTTAGTTCAAAGGTTAACGCATCTGTGTTTGATTTACAGCTCGGTTTCTTCTGGTGGTATGGGCGGTATCCCATCCTCAACTCCAGGAGGCATAACCACTGGAACCGGAGGATCAACAACTGGATTGAGTACCCCCCCTGGTGGCATATTTAGCCCTGGCATGGGTCCCACCGGTGGCATGCCCGACTATAACTCAAATGGTAGTCCGTCTACGTTCCAAGGCACCCTTTTCTCGCTTACACTGATTCTCATTTCAGGCTTGTTGGTCTTCCGTGCCTAGTAAAATCTTCGCGGTTTAGATCAATGGACCAGATTTTGGTGCAATGGTAAGTTTTTAAAGTAGGGAATCATCGGAAAGGGACAATTTGTAACCCATTTCGTTATCTTGGAAAAATATTCCTCTTTTTTAGCTTGTTTGTGGTGTGAAAAGTTAGGGTTTGTGGGCATTGATTCTATTTTGAGCGATGAATGCAAGGAGAATATGATATTCGGGATGAACCAACATCATCATCTTCTCCTAATGCCTTTTTTAGCCTTTTGTAATCGGAATCTATTTTCAAAAACATGTAAATCTATGCTTAGCTAGCCTAGAGGACTTTAGATGTAGTAGTACTATTTTGTTTAATATTATAATCTAATGAGAAAATGATATCTTATCTTAAATATTTGGTTGAGATACTAAATAAAGTTAATAAACAAAGATGTGCAAATTTCTTTAAAAACTACGTGTAATTTTGTCATGAATTCTTGTCTGTACGTGATTCAAGAGCGAACTTGCGCAAAATTGGGATACAAGACTTGTTTTTGGTTGGCTAAATATTTTGGGAGAAGTCAAATTCCCATGAATTTCATTTTCAAGGTTGACACAAAAAAGTGAAAATAGGGGTAATGAAAATTCATGGAAATTTTGACTACCTACAAAACATGAGAAATTGAGAATTCACTTATCTTACTCCCCCGGTAAGTTGAAATTCTCATGGGAATTTATTTCCTCCATTCTTAACCAAACAAATTTGTTGAATTTTCATGTTTTTGATGATGATTTTTATTTCCCACAAATTGCAATTTCATGAGAATTTGCACTTCCTTAATGAACCAAACGACCTCATAGAATCGAGGCTTAAATCACCTTTCAAATACCAAGAGGCCAAGGGCTCATCTTTCAAGCATCACGAGGAGTCTAAAGAATTGGGGCTCAATATTCTGTTTAGATTCCCATAACAATGTCGACATCGAAATGAGCCAAAGTAGCAAGCACCAAGGACGTATAATAGTTGATTAATAAGTGTGCACCAATAAGTTTGTGAATATGAAATTATGGAGTAATGCTTATTGTATTGCCCTCCCAAAAATGGATTCTTTGCCTAAAATAAGTACATTAAGAAAGCAACAAATTGACCTAATATTCCTTCTTGTACCACACTTGTCATTTATCAAATTGATAAATCTTCAATGAGCCTATATGTATCGAAAGATCAAACGAGTGATCACAAGCATTTTCTATATTAAGTGGTAATAGGTGAAATAACCCACTACAGTAGATTTCAATGTAGTCATCCTCTTTCTTCTTCGATTTGATATAAACTCATATGTAGATTCTTATATTAAGCCACGCGCCCACACATGACATAGTGTAACATTCTTAGTATACGAGTCAAAGTGATGGATGCATTTCGAAACCTATAGACTACTATCCCATCTCACATCTACTAATTTGGACAACTAACAAGTGCACACTTATAAAAGATGGGTCAATATTACATGTGAATAATAATTAGATGTTACAAGTAATTAATACTATTGGAAAAGCCCAAAGACTAAAGAGGTCAAATTATTCCATGATGGGTGTCTAATTTTGGTATGTATTAGGCTGGACGACATAAACTGTATTCATTAAGCAGAAAGTACTAGAAGATTGATGCTTAAATGTACGTAAATTATTTATTAATTAAACATAGAACGTTACAAATAAAAGAGATTAGAGCACACAAATGACAAAGGGCACATGTGAATTTGGATTTAGGTATTGTATTAGTGAGTTTAAGTGTGCATTAACACTAGAAAAGTAATGTCATCAGCTGGCCGGCGGCTACTAATCAAGTATTAGTACTTGATCTTATTTTCAAAGGCTTCCCACGTGAGAATGGATCAACCATGTTTTAGGTCCTTTTCATGCTTATGGTGGGACTCAATTGCTTTTGCATTTGTATCTCTCCGTTTTTTATACAGCGAGAAACAATTTGGCTGCATAAAATCTACATATTTCCTCGTTTTCTCTTTAGTTGCATCACTTCAAAAACTACGGACTCTAAGACAATTTTTGAAAATGTGAGAGATATAGAGAGTTGAAAAGTAATGCATCTAAATTAAAACTTTCCTTTTAAGAAAATAATACATCTCAAAAAACGGAGGAAGAATTTTATACTTAGGCCCTCTTTGATTCACCTTAATTTTGCTGAACTGAAATTATTTTTACTGAACTGAACTTATTTTTACTGAACTGAACTTAATTTTACTAAACTGAAATTATTTTTACTGAACTGAATTTATTTTTACTGATTTTCTATTATAATTCTACTTTAAGAAAACTGAATTTTACTGAACTGAACTTATTTTTACTGAACTGAAATTATTTTTACTGAATTGAAATTAATTTTATTGAACTAAATTTATTTTTACTGAACTGAAATTATTTTTACTTAATATTATTTTTTTAAGGTGAAGATAACAGGGTCTTATATTCTAATAAAAACAGGGAAAAAATGGAGTAATAGATTGATGGGGGCACTTTTTTTCTTACTTAACTTAATTAGTCATATAGCAATAATTGTCATTTGAAATTTAGCAAATTGTAGATGACAACTTGCAAAAGGAATCATACTTTTGGATTTTGAAAGAAACTTCATTTTTTTTTTTTTTGGGTGTATGGCAGATTGGCAGCATGTAGCTTTCATGATTATTCTACTCTAGCTTTTTAATTAGTCACATCTTAGTTCCAAATTCGGACATTGGTAAATGTGCAATAGCCACTTTTTTGGAACACCCCCTGTCCATACCCCAAGCACCTCAAACACAACACAAATCTTTTGCTTCCAATTCTAAAATCACATTCTTGTAAATGATAATCAGAATCGTCACAAATAGATGATCCATGCCGTCATGCATATCCCATAGAACTCAAGTAATTCAAAATTCCTACGAGTGCCTGACAAAACCGTGCACTGTGCACTGGTCAATGGTTAGACAGAGTGTACTATGCCTTTTATCGAGTAATGGAAGGTGGCACTTAAAACATTTAGGGCTTGTTCTGATTAGCTGAACAGAGCGAACTGATTGGAGCTAAGCTGAACTGAATATTTTATGAGAGAAGAAAATTAGGAACTGAACTTAAGTGAACTGATTGGAGCTAAACTGAACTGAAATTAAGCTAAAGATAACAAACCCTTAATACGAAGTGGAGTATTATTCATCACATTTACTCGTATAATATTACGAAGTCTATATCTTTTATGGGAAAAAATTGATACTGTAATTAATTTATACTCGATGCATTCCAAAGAGTTAGCACATCATAGATGTATTAAACTGCTATAAGTCTATAACTATTCTCATATACCTATGATAATATGTATGATCTATTACACTTGAATTCAAATAAAAATTACTGCTATTGGTAAAAAATTACCTTGGTATTCAGACATATTCCCTGAAGTTGGGCAAGATTAAGTACAAGAACAGGTTGGATCTGGCCTAGTGGACACACTCTTGGTAACACCACAGTTGTCTTCTTGAACAAATTTGAGGATCAAGTTTGCGACATCAGATGGCTTTTCTACATGAGGGATGTGTCCACAATCTGGTATCGGGCGCAGAATGGCATTTTGCAGTTCACCACACAGCCTCTGGGTTTGACACCGAAAAAAAGATCAATGGATGCCAATATATGTCACGGAGTAGTAAACTTTAATGACACGAATATGATATGCAATTCTCCATTCAAATTGAGGGACATCTAATGACAAGTTTTTTCTTAATAAGCGGGGGTTCTTTATGAAAGAAAATCCCATTAAGATTTTCACCAGTTATTATTCATTAATGCTCACTTCCTTTTTTGGCAAGCGAGACATTACTACATTAGTATGTGACCTTGTTACGAGTACAAAAGAGCAAATTATGTTACACTTCAGTTGTGACTTCAAAAGTACATATCTCAGAAAGATAACAAGGACTTACATATGCAAGCTTGTACCGAATGATCTGATCATCCTCTCCCCAGATGATAAGTGCCCGATGTCTGACCTGTCAAGTGTAATATGCATACTTCTTTATGTACATGAATATGAATTGTCTTTAGACAAGCTGCTTGGAGAAGACATACATGCAAAGTATTGAAGTTATATATATTGTCGGTGTAGCTGACATAATATATCCATAGTAGTAGTTGGATGATTTACGAACATAGTTGATATGGTGTTCATTTAGTCAATTTAATCACAATGCTATAGCCATTGTGCTCCAGTTTTTTCATGTTTCGACACTTTAATAGCACGAGTAGTTTTTTTTTTTTAAAAAAAAAAAAAAAAATCATTACCATGCCACAATTGACTACATTCTACTTACTTTCATCTTATTGCACTCCAATGGAGTGCTTGATCCTACACATGCATCTATAGAACTACTTTTAGATTTATTCAGATGTCTGACAAACCTGTTTTATCATAGATGTAACCTTGTAACCTCCACTTGCCATGAAACTAAGTGTTGCATACCTCCACCAGGGTAAAAGGCAATGTAATCGGCTTATCTGTAAGGTTACACGAGAAAAGATCAGATCTCAAAATCAAGGTCATTGGGAAACCTCACAACTGTTAGAAGGATGAAAAGATGCTCACATTCATCCAATCAAGGTTGGTGCTAAAGGGTACATTCTTAAACACCAACTTATTCACATACAGTCGTAGCGGAATGCTTTGCAATAATGATAACTGCTCCAAGACAATCAAAAAGTCATATTGTAAAATGAGGCTTAAGAGCATCTAGAATACATGAGTACAAAAAATAGTGGCACTCACACCAGCATTAGCGAGTGTAGTGGGAAATCGTGCCATTCCACCGATACCTTCTGAATACACACTTGCATCAATCAGAACCAATTTACTGACCTGAAAAAATAAGTCACATATAGTTCAGACTTCAGGAGTTTAGTGACTTATTGCTCAAAGTGTTTCATAGATCTCATGAAGTATAACTCACAGACTCAGGATAGTTCACTGCAAAGTCAACTGCAATAGCGGCCCCTAGACTTGGTCCCACAAGTACCATCGGCCTTTTGATGTACAATTTCCAAAACTGTAATTACCAAACAAGCAACTGAATACTTGAAAAGGTGGCATTTCAACCAAACAAGATAGAGGATTTTAAAAATTATGGCTACCTTATACAGATGATCACGCTTAGATACCACATCACAAGGTGGACGCCGTTCTGGTACACCAATATTGAGGTTAAAAACTTACAATAACAACGAGTAATGTACATTGAGGTAGCATACTGTAATGAATTGACCTAAGGAGCCTCGTTATGGGTAGTCTAATTTAATACTCCCTCAGTCCCTTAATACAAAGCCTCTTTCTAGCATTTATTACTCACATAGTAAAGAGAAAGAGGCTTTTAATTTAGGAACGGATGGAGTACTTTTAATAGTCATTAGATTTAGCATAAATAGATAGAGAGCCGCCACCTGTGCACATAGACAAAAGCTCATTCTAGAATAACAGCGAGAGATGAAAAAGGACTAGCTAGGCAGGCAAATGGTGCGAAAGTTTTAGGAGACTTGTGACCTAAAGTCACTACCTTGGAGAATAGTAGCCTCAAGTTAACTATCACTAATTTGGAGAGTGATAGCCTAAAACTACTAGATTTGTAAAAAGCTTAGTATTATTATTAATGAAAGTTTGAGTCTTTTTCTCTATTTTCTGTCTTCTTTGTGTGAGCAAAATCAATCAATCTTGAATCCATTACACATACCTAAGTCAGAAAATCCCCAACCAAGAATGTCAACAGCCCAACACTCCGCACCAGCTTCTTCAAGTAATGGATACACACATCTCCACTCTAAACAAGAACTGGAAATTTATGAATGATGTAGAAATTAAGCGACAAAATCTAACACGCACAATACCAGCACATATCACCTAAAGAGCCTCACCTATCAAACCCGTGTAGGAGAACAACTGGGTTTGTATTTCCTTGCATAGATGGCCTAATGCAACTACTCATAATGCAGGTGTCAGAGAATGAAACCTGCAGTAGCAACAAAGGGAAAACGTGTTAATTTTCCTTAATTCACTTGAGGTCAATGTAGCCGATTATACACTATTACACTGAATTCTAACAAGTTAGAGAATGGGACTCTTCCCCTTTTCAATCTATATTTGTAGCCACTTATCTTTGATTACAGTGTAATAAACATGTCAAGACAAGTGTAAAAGACACTAAATTCCATCAGGGGTTCAAACTATAAACTCTAGTGTTTTGAAAAGACCGCCATTTCCTCCTTCTTCATCATCGTCTCTCTTTAAGGTCTTCCATGATAATGAGTCCAATTGTCCAAAGAAACCCAACAAAATGCAAAGGAGAGAGCTACAGGTGTAAATGAGTCGAGCTGTATTGAAACTGCCATGTTTTATGCTCACGTTCCTCTTTAACTTAGGCAAGCTTAAGCAAGAATTTTTCAACCAAGATCAAAAGTATGTTCAAGCTAAGTTCTTTTCATAAGCTACAGTGTTCATGAATGGCTAATGAAAGAATAATTTTTTGTTAATCAAGTGGAATTCCCATGTATGATTTTTTTGTCTTTCTTTTTTTATGTTTGATCAAACAAGCTTATTTTATGAACATATTTTACTCATAAACAATGAGCTTCTAATAAATAGAAACAAGTTGATCATGAAAATAAATAAACGGTCACTTCACAAGGGCCTGTTTTGATTTATTGAGCTGAGCTGATTGGAGCTAAATTGAATATTTTATATTTTTATGTGAGAAGGAAATTAAGAACTGAACTGAATTGATTGGAGCTAAGCTGAAGTGAACTGGCCCTTAGTGACCGAATTAAGGCAAACTACAACTATTGACATGAAATCGTCAATTTTACCGTTGGCAAACATCTCGTTTTGTGCTCATGTTCATGTTCGAAGTAAATTACTAAATTAGGTTATGGAACTCAACACTATCCTAACCCATTCAATAATTGTGTTGTGCCTGGAACTCTTGACATTAACCTGCCACATCATGTCGTGTCGTGTTGACGTGTCATGTCAGCTTTTGCTAGCCAATTTGTCATTATAAATAAACTAAGGCCTTGTTCACTTTAGTTTATTTTTGCCGAAATAAAATTATTTTTATTGAAATGGATTTTTTTTTGTTGAACTTAATTTTTTTTTTTACTGAACTAAAATTATTTTTACAAAAGTGAAATTAAGTTTACATATCTAAAATTACTTTTACTAATTCTCTATTATTATTATCTTCTTTAGAGTTTCTTATTATAATTGAACTAAACTTATTTTCACAGAACTAAAATTATTTTTATTGAATATTAATTTTTAGGTGAAGAGTTAACATCAATTAGGCATTTAAGACATTAAGTGACATTATAATCATTAAAGATTTCTTAAATGCCAAAAATGTGTATCAATTTCATTTAAACACTACTCCGTAATTAAATTGAATTGAATTACTTTAAATAAATAAATAAATCTAAATTACAAAAATGGGATGAATATGATCTTTAAGAAAACCACCTACTTCAAAATGTATCACTAGACTCGTTTAATACTACCTCCATTAATGGTTATATGCAACTTTGGAATATTTTATAATCTCACAAATAATACCCAAAAGTTGCAGATAAGCATTTAGAGGTAGTAAATTCAATTTGATCACAATTTTGTTTACTATTTGAAACAAGCACGTACAAATTCGAATCCTAACCAGCCAAGTTCAAACAAGAATGTAGAACTTCACAACCGCTACCAAAGCTAACTTGAACACTAATAATTCTTACGAAGTACGGAGTATAAGCTAAAACTCAACTAAATTGGCTCATTAGTGAATTGCAGCCCTACTTCAATGCTCTTATTCCCCCCTGTTAGTATTAGTGAGGACTCTGATCTATTAATAAGACCTTGCAAAAATGTATTGAATTCAACTCGAAACTAGATTACCAGAACTTGAGTCTACCTAAACCAAACCCTAACAACATTACCCAAATTAACCTCATTTGAACGACCCGTTTGCCACCTCTACCACTGCTCGAGTGCTCATCCAGACTAACTAGAGAGTAGAGACTAGGATTATCAATTATATACAAGCAAATAGATTAAAATTGGAAATTATTACCATTGGTAAAGAAATTAGTCAAAACAGAACATAATTAAATGTTAATACTGTATAAAAATTAAGTGTATTTTTAATATCCTGATTCAAAACAACAGATTCAAACCAATTTACAGGATTACAAATACATGCAAATGCAGTTTCAAAACCCACTTCAGATTTTGAATAAATTAACACAAAAATCCCCCAGAAATTCACGAAAAACATTATAAATTGAAAATTACAAACTAAAAATAAAAACTTATAAAATAAGATTGGAGAAAGAAGAACCTGAACAGGTAAACGTTCAATTCTGAAAGCCAAATTTCTAGCAAAAGGGTCTTTAATTTTCTGGATTTGTTTAGGAAGAAATGCTGGAAATTCTTGATCTGAATTCACTTTCAAACTTCTTCTTCTGTTGTTGTTGCTGAATCCTTTCATGTATTGCATTGTTGAATAGCTACTTACTGTTACTGCTACCATTTTTATTTAATTTTTCTTTGTAAATTTCTCAGTGAAATTATATTTATAGACCCCTCTAAAATTCCCAAAGAAATTAGAAATTTATAGCATAATTAACACTAATAATTAGAATTGAAACTTTGGTTTGGTATCTGTTGCAGTGTTTTATTCTAACAAGAATTAATTTGATTTAATACAAGTATTAAATTTGTATGAAAACGAAAATGGAAGATATTTTTATAATTAAAAAATGAATGAAGTTCAGAAATTAGTTGACAACTCACTGGGAAAATTGCAATGGTGGCAGAGGAGCTTTATCAAAACTAGAAGCAAGTACCAAAAGTTTACATATTTATTATTTTGTCTTTTCAAAATTCTACGTACTTCTTGGGTTCTTTTTAGAGTGAACCGCTTCTCTACCAACCTCCGTTTTTCAAATGCATCACTTTAACGTGTGCAATACCAAGTACCTTTTCGGTTTAGTATTGACATTAAATATTTCGGGCCTATTGATTGAAATGAGCTGAGCTGAACTGAACTAAAAATAATCGTATGAGAACAGGTCCTTCCTCTGTTTTTTTAGAGTGTCTCACAGTGATATTATATGTATTTCAATGCAAAACTTTAATTAATTTTATTTTTAATTATCATCAAATATAAATTACAACAATTGAATATTAATAATCTATTCATTAATGCGATTTCAACAAGTACCCACAAAATAATATTTGTTCTCTTGTACAATTCAAAAAAAATTGGTCTAAGTATGTTTAATGAATAGTGCAAAATTCAACCATATAATATGATTTATACGGTCTCAATACATGAGATGTCTAAACTATGCTAAACTAATCTAGTAAGTGTTGGTTAAAGCTAAGAGCTGAGAACTACGAAAGAGTAATTGTTGTTTAATTCGTATTTGATCACTTTTCTATGAGATCCTCAACTGTTATTTATAGAGTTTTTATGTAGTTATGTCCTTTAAAATTTGTCGATTTTGCAGATTCAATTTCACTAGGTGATTTCAATAATTTTGGCTCTTTTTAATTCTCCTGTAAATCGTTCAGATATAAAAACCGTTCTTGGTTGACCAACCACTCATTTTTTTTCCTTCTATCACTTACCCATAAACCTGGGCACGGGCCGGGTTGGCCCGCGTGCCGCCCGGCACGGCCCGCCGTTCGGAGCAGCCCGGCACGGCCCGAAGTCAAGCACGGCACGGCACGAAGTTCGACTTCCGTGCCACGGGCCGTGCCACGGACACGGTGGAGAATTCCCAGGCACGGCCCGGCACGAGCACGGGCATGGCCCGCCGTGCTGGCCCGCAGGCACGGCCCGCGGGCCAACGGCTATAAACGGCTAGTTTTTTGCCAAAAATTCTATAAATACTCACCTCCATTTCATTCCCAAATCACAAAATCACAATCTCTTCTTCTTATCTCTTATATTCTCTAAATCTCTAATAATCCTTATTTTCTTAAATTCTCTAATTATTCTCTTAAATTCTCTAATTATTTTCCTAATATCGGAAAAAATTAAAAAGTTCGTAATCGTAATTAGTGGAGCGTTGAAGCACGGTTGTAAGATCTAAACTAATCTTAAATTTATTATTGTTTTATTGTTATTATTAGAATAATCTTGTTTAATTATTATTGTTGTTAATTGTTATTGTTGTTGTTATAATTGTTGTTATTAATTATTATTATTGTTACAATTGTTGTTATTATTTATTTTTGTTTTTATTGTTATTGTTATAGTTGTTGTTATTAATTATTATTATTGATATTTTTATTGTTAAAATTGTTGTTATTAATTATTATTATTATAGTTAACCACTTTTTATTAAAAAATTAATTGTTAATTATGGCATCGAACAACCCATCATCTAGGTCTAGGGGGAAAGGCCGACTTATCCGTAGTAGTAGTTCTAGGGAACCACCAAATACAACGAGCCCCCAAATTACGAGTCAAACCAATGACCCCATTTACTTCCCCCCGGGCTATGAGCCATATAATACGTCGGGATTTCCAGCACCACCACTAAACCAATTTCCACTACCACCATACCAATTTCCACCTAATTATATCGGTAATCAACAAAACTATTGTTCTAGCCAAGGTAGCCAAGAAAGTACCCGAATTCCCTCCGGTTCTACCCCTTCTACTGCCACTCCCACTAGTCCCCCTACTAACCATCACACACATCATGAATGGTTAACCGAAACTGAGATGCTACTTTTGAAAAACCGAAGGAGTGAGGTATGGCGTTATTTTGTCCTAAGTAAAGATGGTGAACAATGGGCAAAATGTAAAACATGTAATAGTGTATTCACGACAGTTACCAAAAACGGGACGGGACACTTATCTAGACACATGAAAGCTTGTGCAAAACCAGCTAGTGATCCAACCCAGCCCAAAATTTCCCAATTCCATCCATACGGCTTTACATACAACTATGAGAGGGATAGGGATGAACTAGGAAAAATGATAGTACACGCCGAACAACCTTTTCTTTTCTCGGAAAGTGACGCATTCAACACCTACATTAACAAAGCACTACAACCCCAACATAAAAGAATCTCTAGGAAAACCGTTCGTTCCGCCGCAATGAAAAATTTCCTAGAGTACAAAGTCCGGTTACAAGCCGAATTGAGTAACCTTAACTGTAGAGTATCTTTAACAGCCGATTCTTGGGATAGTGGTTATAAATATCACTATTTATGTGTGACTTGCCATTGGGTAGATGATCAATGGATGTTACAAAAAAGAATAATACATTTCAAAATGCTGGAATACCCACACACCGGCATTAACATTGCTCACCATTTAATGCAAGCAATAGACGAATACAACCTTCGAGATAAAATGATGTCTATGACTTTTGATAATGCAACCTCTATGACATACACAACTAATCTTATCAAACAAAACTTAACCGATGTACTATTAGACGGTGAAGCTCTTCATACTAGATGTGTTTGCCATGTACTTAACTTATGTGTACAGGATGGAGTTCGGGCAATTGGCCCATACTACAGCAAAATCAGAGATGATATTATGTCTATTAATAGCTCTAACATGAGATACCAAGAATGGAAGAGTTTTCTAAAACAACAAAAGATAAGGGTAATAAAAATTAGAACCGATTGCCCAACTAGGTGGAATTCCACCTATGACATGTTAACAAAGGCAATTGAGTACAAGGGCCCGTTAACATTATTTTACAACCAAAAATTTCCACAAAATGCTTTGTATGATGATGATTGGAATAACTGTGAAAGATATATGCAATTTTTACAGTTATTATATAACATGACGTATTGTTTTTCTACTGTTTACAATCCTTGTGCTCAAAACTTTCTTTCTAATGCATGCTTACTCGCCCAACTTTTCGCTGATCATCGCGATCAAAGTGATTATGATCAGTATCTTCCAGCAATGGAAAAAAAGTGGCGTAAATATTATAGTCAGATTCCTTTGATTTATATTTTTGCTTCCATATTAGATCCTAGGCAAAAGTATGAAAACACATTTATGTTAGTTGACATTTACTTTCAATGCATGTTTCTTGACGATGATGTAGAAAACTATAAGACTAATGTGAAGGATCAGTTTTTTGCTTTATATAGAGTCTATGAAGCCAAATATGGCACCGTTCCTCGCTCAGGGCCTTCTCAACCATCCAAAAACGTAAGTAAGAAGGCCAAACATTTATTTTCACAAGCTACTAACTTGATTTCAAGGTTTTCAGGTGATTCATCAATCAGGAGAACGCAAAGCGATGTCTCGGAGTTGCAGATGTACCTGAGTTACGACTTCACCAAAGGCATGGACGACGATGAGATAAACAGCCTCGACCTCCTTGCATGGTGGAAACAACAAAGCTCGAAGCATCCAACTTTGGCGGCAATGGCACGAGACATTCTTGCTATCCAAGTTTCCTCCGTCGCCTCCGAACGAGCTTTCAGCGCATCCGGAAGGGTTTTAGACGATAGAAGAACAAGGCTAAAACCCGAAACACTAGAAATGTGCGTGTGTTTCAAAGATTGGTTGGATGCGGAAAATCGCTCACAAGACCGTTCTTACGACCACAACGACAACGAAGAAGGAACCTCCGCTTCCGGTTCGGGTTCGGCTAGTTCCCAATCTATGCAACTAGCCGATGACCTTGAAGGCGAAGGCGAAGACGAAGACGAAGACGAAGACGAAGACGAGCAAGAAGAAGGAGAAGAAGAATAGACAATTATTGTATATTGTACGATTTTAAAAATATCAATTTTATCATTTTCCAATTTTTGTTTAATACCATCATTGTATGATTTTTATCATTGTTATCATTGTACAATTTTCTCAACTCAAGTAATAATAATATAAAGTACGCATTATTCACATCCAAAGTCCAATTTGCCTTTTTTCCCCGTTTTGTTACAATTTGTAAATTCATATTAAAAAAAAATAAAATTATACCAATTACTAATAAATCATAAACATTAAATTTTAAAGTAATAGTATAAAGTAAATATATAAATATAAATATTGAATATACAAATTATAAAACATAAATATTCAACTTATAATTATAAAATTCATAACTTAATAACTTATAACTTATAAGTTATAAACTTATAAGTTACCTTATAAAACTTATAATTATAATTTTATAACTTATATACATTATAAACTTATTAATTAATAATGTTGTCATTAAAAAAAAAAAAAAAAAAAAAAAAATGAAAACTGCACCAGCCCGCGCAGGCCAGCCCGCAGCCCGGCACGTGGCCGGCACGACACGAGCCCGCCAGGCACGAGGGCCGTGCCGTGCCGTGGGCTGGCCTGTGAAAATGGCCGGCACGGCACGACACGAAATCCTAGGCCCGCCGGCACGACCGGCACGGCACGAACCAGCCCGCGGCGGCCCGGCACGGCACGGTGCCCAGGATTACTTACCCATTCATTCACTTGACTGTCGCTTGACTTTACTTCAATGCATGTCTTCTAACTTAATATCTTTATCTACTAACTAGGGTCTCTAATAACGGTGTATATGGTCCGGTTTATAAATACATAAGGGTTCGTTTGGCATTGCTGTGTTTTTTCTGTTTTTTGGTTTTTTGTTTTCTAAAAGTATATGATATGAGTCTCATAATGAATCAAAAATTATATAAACTTATTAAAATTATGATAATTTTGAAAACTGACAATATAAAAGTGGAAACACCTTTTTCTTGTTTCCTTTTTTTGGTTTTAAAACAAAGACAGAAAACTGAAAACCAAAACAGATGCCCTAAATTTTTGGTTTGGTTTCATAAATTTTGAAAACCCAAAGCGCAACACACACCGCATCAAATCGGAAAAAAGGGTTTGGTGCACTATGAACATCTCTATTGTGATGTACTCCCTCCGTTTTTAAATATTTGCTCAATTTCGATCTCCATGTGCGAAGTTTTAGGAGAAATTAGAGATACTAACAAAATACGAAGGCAGTGGGGTTGGTGAAAGAATGAAAAATTGTAAAAATCAAAAAGTATTGGAGAGAATTGAAGGAGAGAAAATATGGAATTAATATTGTTAGGTTCACTTGATGGAGTAAGTATTACCCACTACCATGGTATGGTAATACTACCCAAGACCACAATATTTTTTTTCTTTTTCCTTTTTTTTTTTTCCCTTTCCTCTTCATCTTCTTCCTTCCTTAAACCCTTTTCCCCACCTCCATGGATAGGGATAGCTTCCATTGCCGGCCAAACCTCCGCCCACCACACCTTCACCTCCAACAACAAAAAGCCCACCCCACCAGCTACTACCTTGGTCGAAATCCAAAAACACGCAACTACCTCCATTAAAAATCACCGGAAACCACCCAAAAAAACATAACCCAAAAACAAGAGACACAAACTTATGGCTCTAGCCATTAAAAACGGTGAGTTCTATGCTGGAAGTCGCTGAGTTCGGTCGAAATTGACGTTGGTAGTTTTTTGTCGGTGCTCAATTATTATTAATTTCTATACTGTTATTATCGGTTTGTATACTGTTATTCTTGGTTTTTATACTGTTATTCATAATTTACTGTTATTGAGAGGAGAGAGACTGCATTTTTACAACATGAGTAAGTTTTACGTGAAATTACATTTTTGCCCCTGGTATGGGCCCAACGAGCCCATACCTGGTAGTGGTCTATCACTACCCCACTTGATGAGAGAAATTAATTAAATATTGTAAAAGCTTTTCAAATAAAGAAATGGAGCAAGTATTTAAAAATGGTCGAAAAAGAAAAGTGGAGCAAGTATTTTAAAACGGAGGGAGTAGCGATTATCAATTCATCAGGTTACCGACTAATTCTAATCCTAAGGAAATTTTTTAGATAGGTGTAATTAACAAGATAAATGACAAGCTCATGCCTCATATATATTGCAAAGTCAGATACTACAACTAATTTGTGTCAAAAATGACACTTTATGTCATATAGTTTTAATGTAGAATTGTTAGCTGCTACCTATATTTAAAGACACCACTAATCACAAGGACAAACCAATTTACGGCACGACATGTTATTGTGTGGGACAAGTCGTGGATTATGCTTGTGTTGTTGGAAACAGTTTAAGTTATCAGACATCACAAAAAAAAAAAAAAAAAAGAAAAGAAAAGAAAAAGAAATTTTCCTTAATGGTTGAACACAAGATCACAGCACGACATGACCCATAATTTATGAGTTAAAATCACAATTTATGATAGAGATTCAATCTACTTTAACACAAAAAAATTAAATGAAAATTAGCTTAGGTATGTAATCATTGAACAGATCATGGCATAACATGATATAGTTAACCTATGGGTTGGGCTAATTGAACACAAGATCATGGCACAACCATGATACATATTTATGGGTAGGGCTTGAAGCACAACCCACGGCCAAATCCATCGATTCTTATTACTGTATGTATAGGTATTCTTTCTTTAATTTTGTAAGGGTAAATTTCTTTTTTAATGGTTAAACACTTTTTTTTTTTTTTTTTTTGACGGGCAACGCAAACAATTTATTAATGACTAATATCAAAGAGTACATAGGCCTGAATTAAATCAGGAAAATCTTCTAACCAAACACGATAATCATCATAACTATTACTCAAACGAGCAAGATGGTGAGCCACTTGGTTTCCTGTTATTCTCACCCACGAGTAAGAGCATTCAGAGCAGCTAGCAGCCATAAGGAAGATGTCCTTTATGATTAATCCCATTGCTGAAGAGTCCACTTTCCCCTTCTCCAAAGCAAGAAACAGTCTCTGGCTATCCGTCTCAAGTATTACATTTCTATACCCCGCATCCATAGGGACCCGTAAAGCATGCCTCAGAGCTAAAGCCTCAGCAACATCAACATCCTTTTCCCCCCTCACCTTACTGCACGTAGCCAAAACTACATCACCCTCCCTATCCCTTACCACTCCTCCTAGACCAATCACACCCACTTCTAGGAAAGTAGCATCAGAGTTTATTTTGTAGGTACCAAAACACGGCTTTTTCCATCTTGAGCACTCCTCCCTATCACCCTTAGCTCTTCCTTCTCCTTCCATTGCCTTCTCACCTTCACTCACAATTTGCATTGCTTTGTGAATTATCCCTCCGCGTTCCCATTTCTTCTTATCAAAAACCCACATATTTCTGCTATGCCAGATTTCCCAGAGAATACACCAAAAAATACTCCACCACCTCTTCCCATTTCGAGTCTTAGCAATGTTAGAGCACCAGTGCGCATAATTGCCCCCACTTATATTAGTCACATCAATTCTAAGAGGAGATTGCATCCACGTAATACTTGCCCAAGGGCATTTCACAAGCAAATGAAAAACCATTTCTTCATCAGCACCACACATAGGACAAATAGGGTCGATAGACATACCTTTTTTAATCAAAGCTGCTCGCACAGGTAGTCCACCCTTTAAAGCCTTCCACGCAAAGATTTTAATTTTTGGAGGAATATCATTAATCCATACATTATTCCACTTAAAATCTGTAGGAGGGTTGGAAGTTGAGGCACTGTTCTGTTTCAACTCACTTAGAAGATGATTATAGGCGCTTCGAACAGAAAAATCACCACTCTTTGCAAGCATCCAGGTCCAACAGTCATCAGTGTTATACATCGAAGTCGGAATTTTCCTTATAGCATCAATCTCCACTCTTGAAAACAGGCTCACAAGAGCCCCAATATCCCAACTTCCCTCGATCAGCAACTCATCCACCATATAACGGCCCTGATCACTTGTTCTATTAACACTATCCACTCGAAAGTCTGGCAGAGAAGGAACCCAGGGATCCTTCCAGATATCAACAGAGGCACCACTTCCAATAATCTTCCTCACTCCTTTTCTGAGCACCCACCTAGCATTGCAAATGGATTTCCAAGTGTAGCTTGCAGCAGGGCTGACTGCAGCATCCAAAAAGGACGAATTTGGGAAGTATTTCCCTTTTAAAATCTTCGCCATCAGGGAGTTTTCATTAGTGAGAATTCGCCAACCTTGCTTTGCCAGTAGAGCATTATTGAACAAACTCATATTCCTGAAGCCCATTCCTCCCTCTTTCTTTGGGTGGTACATCTTTTCCCATGCCACCCACATAAGTTAATGGTTAAACACTTAACAAACTTTGATCTTATATCAAGATCTTGTTGTTAACTTGTTTCCCACGAAATTTCAAAGCATACATTTTACTTTATCATTAACTAGCTTAAGTGTCATCCACGATATTTACTAATTTTCATTAAAAATTAAATTATTCAGTAATAACTTTTGTACCTAAAATAATATTTTGGTGTTTATTTAATGATAATATTAGATTTATTTTCATAGGAAAAATTTAAGGGATCGGAGCCCCATCTTCAGCCCATTTGACTAAAAAGCTTCTTAGGTTCTCATTGTTTTTACTAAAACAAATATCTCTCACATGTTAAGCCAGTCCAGCTCTACAGGTAGAGGGGGGAGTTAAGGAAATCCCCCTACTCCTAATCTCCTAATCTATTGTAGTTGGTGGGGATCGAACTTGTGACCTCAAAGGTCACAAGGTGACTTCCCCACCAACTCCACGAAGCTTGCTTTTGCTTTGGTTATCTACTTGTAATGTACTTGTGCAAACCATTTTATACTTAAAACTTACTATTATAGTTGAAAAATCCCCCCAAAAAACCCAAATTGATACAGTGCTATAGAAAGATGACTTAAATCTTAGATTCAACTTCTTGAGTGGATGCTGTTAATCAACTTCACAGCCATATAAATTAATGCCATAATTAGCATTAATTTGCTTGCAATCACGTTTATAAATTGAGCATTGCCCTATTGTCTAACTTCATTATTTTGGAGTGGCAATTGATAAAGACAGACTCCAAGTCTCCTTTTCGACCATACAAATGGTTTTCTTTGATATTGATAATCAAAGCCATTAATTAAATGATAATTAGGCAACACTGAAACCCTGATATTTCTTGACCTACAAAGCTGGGGAGTTACAATCATAAAAATGATAACCGAATGCCAAACCATACATTAAACTAGATGAAGGGCCACGATAACCCTCGAAGAGGAAGACGCATTGTTTACAAAAGGGCAAACAGGCAAGGAGCTAAGGCAGATTATGATGGAGACAGAATGCTGATTGTTTAAAGAGTAATAGAGGAGGATGAACCAAGATAAAACCCAAGCATAGTAAAAAGAAAATGATTTTCTCATCGAAGAACTTTACACGAAAAAAAAGATATGAGCATACATTATCTATATTTGTATACAACAAATCTATACCACTCAAATCAATCAACCACTATAATTAGGAAAGAGGGAGGGGGTGTATAAGTTAAGGTTGGAAAAGGGCAAACCATTGGGACCTCCTTAGATCATGAACGAGAGCTGGACTTTCCAGAAAAGGACAATGTCACAAGAACATGCCCACATAAATCAAACTCTTGACAATGTACCACAGTTCTGTTGAGCAAATTTGATGATCAAGTCAGCAACTGAGTTGGGTTTTTCTACATGAGGGATATGGCCACAATCTGGTATTTGACGCAATTTTGCATCCTGCAGCTCACCGTGCAGTTTCTGCAAGTTATCCACCAAGTTCCAAATATTTGTCAGAATCATCTTTGGAGTCATGTTTATGAAAGATTACACCCAAAACCAAACAAAGGACAAGAAAATTTGCAATCCATTTAGTTCCCTTGTATACAGGTGCGCATACAAAATAATTGGTTCATAGAAGTCACTCACAAAGAGTTCTGAAGAGGCAGAGAGGTGGGAGTTATTTAAGGGACAAATATGGATACACATATAATTGAATCTAATTCTATAAAACTCAGTATCAAAGACACAGGTCATGGAATAGCTAGCTGACTGTAAGTATGTAACTATAAGATATACATGACATGCTCACCAATGCTAGCTTGTAGCTGATAATCTTGTCATCCTCGCCCCATATTATAAGTGTCTGCTGTTTTACCTGTGAAAGTGAGTTATAGAAACGTAATTGTAAATTTTTTTATAAGTTTTCACGTTCCATGTCCTTAATAATATAACCTATCACTATCATCATTCATCAATCATCCTTTCTAACAAAACTACAGTAACAATAGCTAAAACCTACAAATAATTAAAACAATAGATACAAGTTCACGTAGTTTTAGAAACGGAGCTCATGGTTTTTCATGTCAACTTGGTTGCATCATGGGCTCATGTCATCCCAGGAAAATAAAGTGGCTAAAATTTCTCATCTACTGAAAATGTGATCTGAACCAATAAAATAACATAACTACTCTAGCTAAGCTATACTGTATGACATTATACACAACTACCATAGAGAAACAGCATTGATTAATAAACCTCTTCCAAATCAATTACAAAACAATTTGGCAGTTCTTATCACATCAGATTCTAACAGGATTAGCACCCGCACCAGAGCAACAATTTGAATTTAAACTTTTTTGTCCACCAAATAGAAACTTCTATATTCAATTATGGTACACCAGAACGACTATCTAAGAGGCAAACATGTAATTTATTCCACTAAAGGAGTTAATTCATCTGCATGCCACCAGTTCAACACCTTTTGACTGCATGAAGCAAAAAAAATACTCCCCTCCCTCCCCGGCTCTCCTGGTCAACTGTAATTTAGTTATGTCAGAGGCACATTGATGACAGTTTATCCTACAGAAATTGTACTCATATCACTTCACTTGTGCCATCTATGTTACTTGGACTCGGATGAAGTGTCAAATTAGACACGGGTGTCCAAGTATTGGACTCGCCCATTTTTTTTGAAAAAAGTTTTGTTTTTAGTTAAAAATGAAGTGTCCAAGTGTCGGTGTCGGTGTCCGACACGAGTCGTGTCGACACAGACACGTGAGGTAAATAAAAGAGTCCGAGTAACATAGTGTGCCATATTCTGATTCAGCATTGTTCAAACCGGAATTATTCACACAAGAGATCAGTCAATATCCCAAAGAACTTTCTAAAAAGCGTGTAGAGCAATGTAACTCAATATTACAGTTAGTTGTGAAGCCATAAAAACAAGCATCTTTCATGTACCTGCTTTATTAGGGGAACAACATTATAACCTCCACTTGTCATGAAAGCAACAGTTGCATCCTCCCACCAAGGGAATAGGCAATGCAAACGACCAATCTGTTCAATTACATAATATCAAAAAAATTAAATCCGAAAACACCCCATCAATTTAAAGAGTCTAAGTTGTACACGAGTATTCTTACATTCATCCAGTCCACACTGGTACTGAAGGATACATCATTAAAGGCTATAAGATTTACGTAAAGTCGTAGGGGCACACTTTTCAGTAAAGCAACCTATTCAAACAAAATAGTTAGACAATTGCATCCGAATTCAGTATTATACATGGGAAATATTTAGCCAACCGAAAAAGTACGGAAGTTTAAAGTGACCTACAACATACTTTGAAACAGTGAAAGCAAAGACACAAAAGAGCTTACTATACAATTATTCAAAAGGAGATAAACATTATATTGATGGGGGAAGGGGTCCACTTTCTATTAGGATTAGCACTCACACCAGCATAAGCAAATAGACGTGGAAGGTTGGCCATTTCCCCAGTACCTTCTGTATATACACTTGCATCAATCAAAATTAGTTTGCTGACCTGATGCATTAGAAGAAAAAATGTGTAAAATTCCAATTGTAGCCATGTATCTTTATAGTTTATACCATACGACGTATATCTGAGATGAAGGTGCGGAACTACTTACAGCTTCTGGATGGTTAACTGCAAGGTCAATTGCAACAGCAGCCCCAAGACTTGGTCCAACAAGTATCATGGGTCTTTTGATGTAGGATTTCCAGAACTGTGACAGGCAAGAGACACAAAGAGGTCACAGAGGAATGACAATTTGAAAGTAGCCTCCATATAGAAGAAAAATGTGGAAACCAACAATTCCATTAATAATGAATCACTTGAGACACTCAGCAACACTGTTCAAATTCTTATCATTATAAAAAGAAACAGAGGACAACAAACAACAAATTAAGATAAAGAAGGTTCTAATACCTGGTACAAATGATTGCGCTTGGATACAACATCACACCGTGGAAGCCTTTCTAAAACCACAAAAAAAAGTTGAAATGAAGAACATAACTTACTCAATGGAGGAAGAGGGGAAATATGAAGAGAAGAGCAACAAGAGTATCCATAATTGTATGTGTACAAAGCAAACGCAATGGCATACCTAAATCAGAAAACCCCCAACCTAGAATGTCAATAGCCCAGCTTTCCAAGCCTGCCTCCTCCAGTAATGGGTACGTGTATCTCCATTCTAAACAAGAACTGAAGAATGAATGCAATGAACTATGGAGAAGCTATGGAAAACTGCTTACAAATCAACAGTCTGGGGAAAAATAATGATTACCTATCAAAACCATGAAGGAGAACAATTGGATCAGTCTTTCCTTGCATCATTGGCCTTACACAACTACTCATGATTGAAGTCTCTGAAGATGTTAACTGAAATAACATCAAAGTTGCACTCGTTAGTAAATGGACATTGGTTTAAGATGTGTGAGTGATCATGCCAACTGATGGATATATCCAAAGAATTTCACTAATAAACTCTTAACATAGTTTGTTTCTATTTATTCTTTAAAAAGAACAGAAAACCTTCTAAGTTGCAAGATATGCAACAATGACCATGCTAATAGCAAGAGTAACTCTTTACCTCAACATAAGGTAGCCTTTCTATTCAAAAAGTAGTCAATACACAACTTTCAGTTTCATAAAACGTAATATGTATGGGTCATAAACATTAGTATAGGTGTGTAATGCCTTGGTGCTATAGGGTATTATCATCAATATGCTTTCCAGGATGAGGTAACTCACTATACATGACAAAATTTATTTACTTTATCAGGGAAGGACAAATTATTCAGGAACACTCCACAGTAAGCATAAATAAGGAGGGGGAAGCTCTAAAATCTAAAAATTGCTTGCCTTCCCACTTTTTCTATTGATTCCTTCAAATGCCAATTTACTTCTTTTCTAATCTCTTTCAATGACTATAATAAACAGGTTTGCCCCCAAGATCAATGACATCCTCAAGATATTTTGAATAACAGAAAATCGAAATCTAATATGGGCAGTACACCTGCACATCAAGAAGTCATTACAACTATAGTCAAAGTTAATACATGAAAAGTGAAAAAAGTCCAGCGTGTCAATTATTCTAGTACGGAGAATTGGAGAGAGTATATTAATATGTGGTACCCCGAATTGGGTTGTAGGAGATTATTCTGAATTAGACAACCACAATTTCATTAGAGAGCATAATTGTATCCTGAAAGGGCTCCTCTCTTACCCCTAGTAAGACAATCACTTCTTCCAAAGCCTAAAACGACTCGAACCCGAATCAACCACTCTATTCTACTACAATCCTCACTTCTTATCATCTCCTAAGCAAGCAGTCAAGTACAAATGATATAATTGTCATATAAGAAACAGGACACCACATTAATACATTGAAAATTTATGTAATGCAAGGTGGGGTTGATTCAAGGTTAAGTGTATCAAGCAAATTAGTTCAAAAATCAGCAACATACACTATTTTTTTCCATCAAAATCAAACTTAAACTTTACAAAAGCATGAATTAATACTACATAAAGTAGTTCATTCAACAAATGAAGTGAAATTGAAATATAATTGTAAAATTGCAACAAAAAAACTCCAATGGGGATTAAAGGAAGAACCTGAACAGGTAACCTCTCAATTCTTTGAGCCAAATTCCGAGCAAATGAATCTTTGATATTATCAACTTGTTTGGGTAAAAATGAAGGGAACCCATTTGCACAAACCTTAAAATGGGTCCTAATATTCAAGGGTTTTGCTGAAAATGGAAAGCTGTAGGTTGGTGTAAGAGTTAACATTGGGTGATCACCGGCGCCGGCGTCAAAATTGAAGGGTAATGCTGAAGATGAGTAGTGGCTAACGCCTAACGGGTATGAGTTAGCCAAGTGGTAAGCTTTACTCCGTGTTCTATGCTTTCAACTTTGTAGGGGTAGCAACTACGCATAAGTAGTGTCCTTTTTTTTTTTCTTTCTTTTCTTGGCGGGTCTGCCTGGTGCCGCAAATTGACACACACTACATAGTGATTTGGGTAATCTCTAGTTGATCGACTAACCCCTGTCTGATTGAGAAATATTTAAACGATTTAGGGCATGTTCTCATTGATTGAACTGATATGAATTGAACAGAACTTTAGAGCTGAACTGAATTAAATTTATTAGATCTGAATTGAACTAAAATGAATATTTAATAAGAGAAGGATATTAGGAGCTTAATTGAAAATAATCGTATGAGAACATGCCCTTAGTAACCTTGAGTGACTAATCCTGACTACATTATGCAGCCACCCACATAAAAATTTGTGTTCATACTATTTGCAACATTTGTAAAATAAATGAATGTTTTACTCCTTATTTGTAACACAAAGGTTTTCATTCTTTTTAAGTTGTCATTTCTCTTTATGCCTCTTCTCATTACATGCATCTTTATCTTTCTTTCTTCATTTAACACTCACAAACAAATTTTGTTAATGAGTGCGTGTAACTTTTCAAAGTTGATAAGACGAAATTGAGGTACTCAGTAGTATTTTGTTACATCACCCATATTGACTAGAGCGATTGTACAAGCAATGATAAATCAATCTTTAATTTGAGGATTAAGAACTTTTTTTTTTTCATTCTGATGAAGAGGAGAAAGATTTATTAAATATGAGAAATTTTTGACAAATTGAGTTCATATCTAATTAACTGAAACAATTAAATTTTATGAAAAATTACCCGAAATAATCCCATCTTTGGGTAATTTGTAATTAATCTGACCTTTATACTCAATACGCTAAAAATGGTCTCGAGTGACCAATTTCCAATTAAAGAGGCAATTTTTTTTATTAATTTAATTTACACGTGTCACAACTTGATTTATCCAAAATTAAGTATTTAAATATAATTATATTAAATAAACAAATTATATATATATATATATATATATATATATATATATATATATATATATATATATATATATATATATATATGTATGTATATATAAAACCAGGCACACCCTTCCCCACAAGTCCACAACCACTGCCAGTGGCCGGCGCCGGCGACCACGTCCATCCCCCGCGCCAGAGACCCCACCCCCCTCCATTTGCCCCACCCACGACTCAAGGAAAGCCGGAATGTGCTTAACAGAGAGCTTGCAGTGGATGAGGAAGAAGCTGCAAATATGAAAAAGTGATTGCAGAGGACAAATCACTGAAACACCTTATTCAGCTGGAGTCTTTAGGTCATGATTTGGTTTAACTCACTTTTGGTAATTTCTGATGAGATTGGTTTGTATAAACATCTATCCAGAATGTCTTGTACAACTTTGCATACTAAGTAATCACTGCATCCCTTAAATCAAAAGGCGCTAGCTTTTACAGTTGAAGTGATTATGCCTGAAAAGTTTGCTGAAGTGTCAACTCTTACTGCCATTCTCTGTAGTACTGTATGCTGCTTATATAGTTGCATATAGTTCTGGTAACATTTCAGAATGAACTCACAACTCCTAATCTTGCTTGTTGAGCGATCAAATTTCCGATGGAAATGATGCTTTTTGAGGTCTAAAGAACTGGGAATTTAGTTTCGATTAATATACTGATCAAAATTTGTTTCTCACATGACATTTTCGTAAATAAACCAACAAACTTTATTCAATTGTGGAACCCATAATAATGAAAAAGTTGTTGATTTATTCACGAAAATACCCCATGAAAAACATATTTCGTTTCTCAAAACAGGGAATTTCCCAATTTAATGTACTTCCAATAAATATTAGGATAATACCCACATGATCCACATGATCAAAATCCTTAATATAATAAAATCTTCCAACAGTAATATATGAGAACAAGAAGCTGCATAAACTATAAACATCATAAAATCACCACATCAACACTTGATTTAATTCGTTTGGCAAGCAGTTTTGCCATACTTCTGCCAATTTCCATGTTATCCCTTTTATTATTCCCATACCAAATGCTTAGATCTCCATGCTCGGGTTTACGAGGATCAAGTATAAACTTCTTAAGCATGGGAGCATGTTGAGTGAGTTGATACGCAAGAGCACCAGCATATTCATACCCTGCATATCCAACAAATTCTAGCGCCTCAAGTCTCAGGAGGGTACGAATTGCATTAGTTTGAGCAACGTTAATTGGTATTAACCTTGTGTAGTCATCCTGCCTCCAAAGCATTATCTGCAAACAAAAGATTCACGTCAATACTGCTTGCAAAGAAAAGCTAAAGACACATTCTTGACATACAAAATCTGTTTTGGAGAGTGATCGATTGCAGAGAGCCTGCTGTTTGCGCGAGCTCTTTGATTCTATGTAGAAGTGCACTATAGGCTACTTCTAATGGCCTATACCAAACATTGTATTTGGAGTTATCAACTGGCTTAAACCAAACTATCCAATTTGTACATCATGTATAATGGTATTTAAACCCATAAAGAGCATATATAGATAGTAATCAAAATTTGTACTCAGTAAAAGTTTGTACAGATGTACTAACCTTTAACTTGAATGTATGCAACTGAGGGCATGCTGTAATCAGGGATAATGTCGATACTAAAAGGTATCTACCATGATCGTTAATGAAAGATAACTCCAAAACCTTAACATTATCAAAGGATGGAAATTTACAAGCTTGAAAGGGTGGTACCTACAAAATTGGATAAAAACAAGTGTGGTTATACTAATATCATGCACATTTGCACACTAATAAACAAATACTACTAGGAATCTTCATGTTACATCATATGTCCAAAGTTAGATTTTGACAGTTTGATGCGCACAAAACATGTACATACCCATAGGCCATACCGCCATAGCCATGTTTTATACAATTATACCCGATTAGCAACTTAATTACTAAGTATATATTGATTATAACACACAATAATAATACTAACCATGGACCAATGCAGCGAGAGTTTCTTAAGTTGGGAAGATAAACCGGATAGAATACTCCCGTTGCTAGTAAGTTTAGTAGAATATTTTCCTCCAAAAGCAGCATCCACAAGTGATGGAACGCTAACATACTCCACATCAACAGTACGAGACTCAGAAAATAAAAGAGTAACAAGATTTGGAGCAACAATGTGCAATGACTCAGCATTGAGAAGGCGGGTGCTAGAAAAAATCTCCAAGTGTTCGAGTGTAAGGGATGAAATAACAAGTTTTTGGCGTTTGGAAGAAGCAAAAACATCATCGGTGGTCAGACACGAGTGAAGCAAAAGGCGGCGAAGTTTAAGACAAATAGATAAAACCCATTGAAGCAGAGGTCCATCTACAGCCACCTTTGTCAAGTGAAGAGATACAAGACTAGTATTCAAGACAAAAGTGGAGTTCTTAAAAAAAGGGATCGTAGGAATAGTTTCCATGTGCAACTCCAGATTTCGAACCCATTTAGTTGAGGCGAATTCAAGCCACTTATCAATATTAGAAGCAAATATGTTATCATCGATAGGAATAGGAAAATGCATTCTGAAGGTGTTAAGATACGGAGCTTGATTTGCTCTGATAACCTGGTTAACCCAATCAGCATAATTACCCACTTCGGAATTCTCATATGGCTTAGTCATTGCAATGGCTAGCCTTGGAGGATCTTCGAAATCTAGGTCCGTGATATAAGTTCATACATGTCTCCACCTTTTCGAAAGAAGGCTAGTTCTTGCTGCTGCTTTAATCCCTACAAAAGATAGCAAGTATACTAGTATATCATCAGGTAAGTTGCTAATCAAATCCACTTGACCACCTTCAAGATTTTTGTTGTTCCTCTGCCAAAAAAACATATAGAAATTAAAGTTGTATTAAAAGAAAGAACTAAATGTTACTTAAGACACAAGCAACGTACTCTTCTCTTATAGCACTTGTGAATGGTGGTAGTAGTGTTAGGTTGAAACATATCTCGGAGGCATGTCCAAGCATCCATGGCAGTAGTATAATTATTATCAAGAAGAGTGATGAGTAAATCGGTGGAGATAGTGGCGTAAATCCAAGTGAGGACGACAGCATCAAGTCGGGCCCAAAGAGTGGTGTCACGGTCACTAATAATAATGTGTGAAGGAGTAGGAATGGTGGAGTCGATGTGATCAAGAACATTGTAGGCACGGGCCGTGACACGGAAAAGGGTAGACCAACGACTGTAAAAACTATTTTTAGTATTAAGAACAAGAGGAATGAGGTTCTTAATGTTGGACACATTAAGTGCAGGGTGAATAAATTCACAGCAAGTTTGACAAGCGCAGTTTTTCTCCTTAGTATAGTCCATGCCTCAGTTTGTAGAGCACTGTCAACAGTAGCGTACAATCAAAGTTCAAATCAACAATAAGCTAAGATGACATCGATTTACAATTGCATCAAGACTTACATTCAAGAACAAATCTTTCTCCAAATAAGTAACTAAAGTGTCATTTAACAAACCATATCCCATGCTATTTGGTGGATTTTGATGAAACAAAGGGCCAAAGGGGGATTTTCATAATTTGGTGGGTTTTGATGGTTGGAAGGATGGTTATCAGGTGGTTCTCTTTGTGTTCTTTTTGAAAAAAAAACTGGAAATACTTCTTTCTCGGGATCTCTTCATTGAATTAGATTTCTGAAATTTGTAGCATTATTATGTTTTATCAGAACATATATCATTATTATCATATTTGCAAGTTCAATCATCATTACAACTTCAATTGAATTAGAAAAAAAAAAAATTAGAACTTCAACTAGGCAATAGGAAATTAGCACATATAATTCATCAACATAACAATTAACAAATTCAATTCATAAAATCATAAATCAGCAAGTTAAATTGATCAACAATTCAACATATAGCAAATTTGGTCAATTCAATTATTATATAAACAGGCAAACAACAACATTATACTTGAAATCTTCAATTAAATTAATCAATTCAATATTTCAATTCAATAATTTCATACTCAAATTCTAACCAACAAAAAAACAGAACCTTATTGAAACATTGAAACAAAAGAGAAAGGAAAGAAGGGAACCTTAATTGGAGCCTTGGAGGCCGAGAACAGTGAGCACCCCCTAGAAAACATCACTCCGTCAGGTCGCCGAGAAGAAGTTGGGTCGTGAGACTCGTGACTTGGTGACTGAGCACTGAGCAGGGAACTTGAGGAGTAGAGAACTTGAGAAGAGGAACTTCAAGTCTTCAACAAAACACAAAGGAGAATAGGAGATGACCAGCCGTCGCCGGTCGCCGGTATCCGGTCGCCGGATCTGGAGACTGGAGTACAATAAGAGTTCGGAGGAAGGAGAAAGGGGAGAAGAGAGAGAAAGAGGCAAAGAGGGGTTTTAGGGAATAAAGCAAATGAGAAGAAAGAGAAAGCAGTTGCCGTTAAGGAGAAAGCACGTGCTACCCCTTGTGAGTTGTGACTCCGTAGGTCCGCCAGAAATTACATGCGAGTGCATCTAGGCGCATAGGGCCTATGTATTTGGCATGCACATAGGAAGACAATTTGGACTTCGGTGGTATATTTTCACTTTTATTTTAGTATAGTAGTACATTTTTGTGTACTACTATATATATATATAATGTACCATTAAAGTATAAGTTATTTGAATAGTATTTTTATATACTATTATGCAAGTAGTGGTATTTTCGTCATCATATTTTTCACCTTCAGATTCCCATTATTTACAAAAATGCCATCCTATTTGCATCCTTAATATATAGGGACTATGCGCCTAGAGTTTTCCATTATATGCTCCTCCATTACGAATTACTCGCAACAATTACTAAAAATGGCTGGTACACATTACTTGCAACAAATTTATTTCTTTTCTTTTATAGTAAGTTTTTTGTGTAATATTACAACATTACCCTTGCTTTTTTTCCTAAACACCCTAATTAAATTACTGATTTTATCTTTTTAACTTAAACCCTAACATTGATTTAATCACCTCCCATCAAAATTCTTCTTCATCACCACCACCACCACCATCACCTTCTTTGGCAACAACCACCACCACCACCTATCGCTACTAACGTTGGAAATCACCGGCGTCGTCTTCTTCCTTGTCGACACCTTCATTTTCTTTCTCTTCCTCTTCTAAATCTAACTTTTTCTGGGTTCCTTGTGCATTTGGTGGGTCGAATTTCTGGGTTTGGTGCTTGGTGGGTCGAATTTCAGGGTTAGGTGGTTCTGGGCTTGGGTTTCGTGGGTTCGAAATTTGGGGGGTGGTCTCGTGGTGGTGGGTTTCGGGGTTGTGGGTCTGGGTTCGTGGGTTGGGGGTTTCAGGGTGGGTTGTGGTGGTTCGGCGATTGTGGGTCTGGGTTTGTGGTGGTGGGTTTCGGGGTTGTGGATCTGGGTTTGTGGTGGTGGGTTTTGGGATTGTGGGTCTGGGTTCGTGGATTGTGGGTTTCGGGGTGGGTGGTAGTGGGTTCGGCGGCTTCGCAGGTGGTGGTGTTTTTGTGGTTGTGGTTATGCTAGGTGGTGGTGGTTGTGGTGCTTGGTGTTTAGTTTTTTTTTTTTTTTTTTTTTTTTTTTTTTTTTTTTTTGTTTTTTTTATTGGATTAATACTAAGCACATCCCTTATTTTCCAATAATCACACTTAAGATATTTTGCCTAGGAGTCGCAAACTCCCTCTTTGTTGCGAGTAACTCGTAACAGAGGGAGTATGGCCGGATTACTTAAAATTAGAGGTTACTTAAAATTAAGGGTTACTAGAAATTAGGGATTTCAACGTGAGTGTCAGACTCCATTATACGCATCAGACTCCGTTATTTGCTGAGTTTACGGCATTACACATGGTGTGACTTGCTACACTAAAAGACGCTTTAAACTTTGTCTTCATCAAAGTAAAAACTTTATCTTTTTACTTTCTTTCTGAACTAAATTTTCTTTTAATTTCATTCTTTTTTTTTCTTCTTTAATTGTTAATTAAAAAACACCTTAATATTTTATCATAGAAATTATCTCTGTATTAGCTCCACTTAAAAAAAATGTTTGCTGCATAGCCTGAAATTCTGCATTCACCCAAACGTTGAGGGGAGGAGGCTATGTTGCACGGAAACGGATACGGGGACAAAAACGAGTACGGGTACGGAGACAGGATACGGCAAAATTAAAATTTCAAAAAACGGGTACGGCATGGATACGACAAAAAAAATTATAAATAAATAAATAAATCAATGAAATGTTAAAAAAAAATTCATACTACACAAATTATAGTGACTTCTCCATCTACATTTCTGTAGTGACTTAAAATAAAATTAAATTAAAATTAATAATACTCTCTCCGTTACATATTACTCGCAACAAAGGAATATTTTATGTCTCACATCGGCAGAGACAGGGCCGCCTATTGGAGGCGTTTGCCGCGTGGGAGAGAAGTGTTGGTGAAGAAGGAAACAATCAGCAGAGACGTCAAGTCGCTGAAGAGAAGTTACAGCTACTAAACGCTATTCTACAGTCGTCGCAAGAACCCAACCTAAGAGAAATGCATCTTCAATGGCATGATTACGTTAAGGCGCGAATTCGAACGCTGTTTTTAATGGAGATAAGGAAGGCCGACGTGCTTGATGTTGTGGATTTGACAACCGCGCGTTTGGCTAGAAGACTTGTGCATCAATACAATTGGAATGGGAGGTTCAAAATACGCTATCCAGACGATACGTCCTTGCAGGTTATAGCGCAGATTTACACCGCAATGCAAGGCTTGGAATATGAACATTGAACACGCACAGTAAAGTCAGTACACTAATTCTTTGTCAAGTTTTCTAGACAGTTATTTCTACGTACAAAAAGCTAGAGTAATTTTTTTGTAATTAGTAATTCTTTATAGTCATCGTGTTGGAAGAGATGGAGAATAGGAGCATGAGAAGTGGGACTCTCTAGTTGTGGAGATCTGCAGTGTTGATGACACTAATGATCAACTTGTGAGCTGTTTGAATAGTTAGGCTTTAGCTTACATTACAATTTTTGACTTGTATGTGTGCATATAGATAATATACTACTCATGTTGAATGTGACTTTTGTGTACTTACTTGGTCATAAGTACAAGATGTGACGTGTATGTGTGCTTAGATACTATAATACTCGTGTTGAATGAGACTTTTGTGTAATTACTTGGTCATAAATACAAGATGTGACGTGTATGCATGCTTAGTACTATAATACTCGTGTTGAATTAGACTTTTGTATCGCTTCAACTATATATATTGGTAGTTGATATAAATTCCCAAGTCCCAACATTAATCTGCCTCTAATAATGAGATGACCCAAACTATGCTACTTCCTATACCGTTTTTAAGGATCATGTGCTATACTTCATTCCTATTTCATGAAATCTGGGATGGTTGGATTAAGACTTTGCTAAATTGGATGTCTGTACTTGGGCAACGATATGTAGGAATTACGAGCCCAATGATAAAAGGTGGGCTTTGCTAGGGGAACTATGCATATGTGCTTTAATTTGCCTGTTAATAAAACAAATATATTACTGGTTGCTCAGAATCTCAGATGATACTGAAACTTAGGTCCAGATAACAAGTCTTTACTTATTATTTTTAATTTAATACGACTGTAATTTTCTTTATTTTCAAGGATAAATCAATATAATCATTTCAATTAAGGAAAATAAAAAAGTCATTTAATATAATTAAACAGCACGGGTGCAACAAATTAATTAAGATCAAGGTGCTCATAGTTTAGTGGGAGACTTGCAAACTTGCAGTTTTCATTATTCCTTTGGTATATATATATCAATAATTATGTTAATATCATCCTAAGAATATATCACATGAGGATATAGTTAGACTCTATTCTTTGAGACATAATATCATGGCTTCCCTTCAAAAATAAAAAAATAAATATACTTTGATTAAATTAGATTAAAATTTGATTTTACACCATTATTATTAGGGTATCAATTCAATTTAATTCACTACAAGTTCAATTCAATTCACTATGAATTCAATAATTTCTGTTCAAGTCACTTAAATGAAAAATAATATAGAGTAGTTCATTTCAAATTACTCATTTGCATTCACTTCAACTTAATCAATTCGACTCAGTTTAGTTCAGATTAACGTACTAATTTGCATAGTGGTTCGTTTACATTTAAACCTACTGCAACGATTTAGCAAGCCATATCAATTTTAGAGTATGGAGCATATGACTTTAATTTGTTTGCATTGTGCATCTGTTTTTTTTTTTTAATTTAATTTAATTTATTTTGTTTTTATTTATCCAACTAATGCTCTTATAATATCATGGTAAATCTTACTATCTTAGCTTGATAAGAAGAAAGGAATGAAAAAAAAAATGTGTCCTATTATATTATTATATGATGGTCCATAGCTTTTGAAGGACGTAAACACATAAATTTAGCATATTTGTTTTATGGAATAAAAAAAAGGAAAATTATATACTTAGTACTTTTTTTTTTTTTTTTGACAAGATATACTTAGTACTTAGGACTACATATAAAATGTAGTACTTAGGACTACATATAAAATGCTAAGAGTAGAAAAATAAATGAATATAACATTCATGACATCTATCTATTATAATAAATTTACATTACATGGTTTTAAACTTTCAATGATACATTATGGGGATATAGACAATTCAATAATCAGATGGAGAAATTACTTTATAATTTACAAGAACTCATGTTGCATTTTATTATTGTAGTGCAAAAAGACAATCAATCAAATGCCTTTGGCTTTTAATTATTGTTTGGCATACACTTTTTTTTAAACAAAGAAAGAGCATACACAACACAATTTACATAAATTTTCCATGTTGACCCGAAGAAGACCAAGCTTATATTATATTGCTAGGTAGGTGCTGACCAACTCGAGAACCTGACCAAGTAAACAATTACTCCGTACTTGGATAAACTACGAAGCATATATCATCATACCATTTAATAGTTGTGATGTCAACAATTGCATACGTAATGTACTAATATTACAACTATTCCAAAGTAACCCCCAAAATGTTTATAAAAAGACCATATCCCTCACAAAGTAACCTTAATCATGATGAAAATAAAGGTTTTGTTAATGTAGAAGATAATTAGATATTGCTTGTGAAAGAGACATTTATTTGAATGAAATAAGCTATACTATTGTAAATTTGTTAAGATGGGAATATAAGTTCATAATGCTAAAGCAAAAGTGTAACTACAAAAAAAGAAAAAAAAAAAAAAACCGAAAAGTGTAACCAACAGGAAAAAAAAAGAAGTTGCAACATCTTCTTCTGAGGTTTATTTTTATTTTTATTTTCATATACACAAACCTAACAATAAATAATCTAAGTATCTAACATGCAAGTAAGAAACATTGTTCATTTGTTAAAGTTGTTCT